TAGGTGGTTTGTAAGGGCTCGGGCTAATCTACCTTTGGCCAGGTAATTTAGCACCGAGTGAGGGCTACGGCTCGAGGTTAATGGAGGGATATAAGGATGGTTATTTGTGTGTATTGTAATATTTATTATATTTATTGGAATTATATTATTTTTAATTCTCACTTAGTAAGCACACACTTAACTGTTTGTATACACTATCATAAATTGGCTTTGGTTACTGGGACTTTTGAGTCTCATTATGTGGTTAACAATTTTCAGGAGAAGAGCCACGAGTGACACGTGGAGGAGTCCCAAAGGCTTAGTGGTATAGATCCACTGTCTCTTTTGGGTATTTAATTTATGATTTATAATGTGTTATATTGCCAATATTAGGGCTTTTTGTTTATTGTCAATTATATGAATATATAAATGTAATCATGCCTTTCAAACTATTTCTATTTTTGATACAATTTGGATGACTGTAATTTTAATATTTGGTTTACTTTGGATTGGTTAAAATGGCATGATTATAAGGCCAAATAACTGGCTTGTGTTGAAAATTTATTAAATTGCTTATTTTACTTGTTGGGAGTATAAGGATGGACAAATGTGATTTAGTTTACTTGTTGGGAGTATAAGAATGGACAAATGTGATTTAGCCTAATGGCATGTGGGAGGTAAAAATTTATCTGAAATGTTATAGTGTATGAGTTGAAGCCAATTATAAAATATTTTATATTGAAATTATTGATATAAAAATGTATTGGGTGGCTGTAACCCAACTATGGTTGAGCTAAATTATAAAAAAAAAATTTGGTGTGTTACATTATGCATAGTGGATGTTGTATTATACATTGTTTACCTATTTATACATTTTGTTAAGTCTAGCCTACTGATAAAATATAATCGTATAGCCTTTTAGTTAAGAATATATGAACCTCATGTTGTGCATAGTAGATATTGTGTTGTGCATTATTTTGCTTACTTTTGCTTTTTATTAAGCCTAGTCTATTGATAAAGTAGAATCGTATGGACTTTTAGTTGAGAATAAATAAAATTTATATTGTGCATAGTAGATATTGTATTATGCATTGTTTGCCTATTTGTATATTTTGTTAAGCCCAGCCTATTAATAAAGTAGAATCGTATAGACTTTTAGTTGAGAATATATGAATTTTATGTTGTGCATAGTGGATATTGTATTGTGCATTGTTTGCTTACTAGTGCATTTTGTTAAGCCTAGTTTACTGATAAAATAGAATCATATGAATTTTTAGTTAAGAATAAATGAACCTTATATTGTGCATAGTGGATATTGTGTTATGCATTATTTGCCTAACTTTAGTATTTGTTAAGCTTAGTATAATGATAAATTAGAATCACATGGACTTTTAGGTGAGAATATATCACAAACTTTCTTCTCTTGCAATCATCTTTAACTAGCCATCCTCTCGAAAGGCCACAAACAAGGAGGATAGAGTCTTTCAAGATAAGAAGATTTATCATTATCTAAGATGTGAGAAGGCTGGACACAGTTGCAAGACATGCAAGAATCCTAACCCAGCATGAGAAGTAGTTACATTGTACTTCTTTGGTGTATATAGGCAATTATAATTATGTATATAGAAGCATTTTCAATTAACATTTTTTAAGTAATTGAGAATCATAGATATTTTTTGTTTGTATGTAGAGAAGCAACTGTTAGATATTTTGAATATAATGGCTAACTTTTGTGTATATATCAGACTTAAAATATTATGTCAAATTTCATGTGGGTACTTGTTTTAGTACCTAAGCTAATACCAATATGAAATTATTCATATTTGATGTAATTGTCCTTCTTAATATTGAAAATGCATGAATTTTCTGTTGAGCATGCGTGGACATCATCTTGTATATAATAGATGTTATGTCATGCATGATTTGCCTAACATTATTTTATTATAACCTAGGCTAGTGAAATACTGAAAATGTATGAATTTTTTTGTTAAGCACACATGACCATCGTCTTGTGCATAGTGAATGTTGTGTCGTGCATGATCTGCCTAGTCATTTTTGTTAAAGTCAAGGCTAATAAAATACTTGAAATGTATAAACTTTCTGTTGAGGATGCATGGACATCGTCTTACGCATAGTAAATATTGTGTTATGCATAGTCTAATTCATTGTTTCGAGGGTTCATGCAAGTTCTAAATTCAAATCAAATAAAGGGCAAAATCATACTTTTGGTCTCAAGAAAATTAGCAATAAGAGCCCTAAGGCCTGTAAAAAAATATCAGATTTATTTAGACCTAAATTATAATAAAATTTATTTTTAATGCTCTTGCCATTTTCCCTTATCTTTATGTCGTTGCTGTCAATGTATAAATGGTTTGGATACTTATTTAATTTTGATTTCCTTTCTCCTTCATCTTAAATGTGTCTTGATATTTATGAAAGGAAGAAATAAATATTTGTGGATGATTGCTCCATTAAAAAATTTATCCTTTCTTATCTAAAATTTTATTATAATTATTTATGATTCTATTTTTTATGCAATCATATTGCACAAATTATGACAACTCATGATGGAAATCCTAATTATCATTTTAACTTGTGAAAAGTTTGCAAGAAACAATATAATTATCATTTTTGGTAAGATCACTTTCCAATTTTAATGCCTCCACGTTGTTTATTATTGATAAAAATGTGATTCGAACGGATAAGACATATTTGATTTAGTAAGAAAATGTCGCTTAAATTTGTAATTATTCATATTTTCTTGTTCAAAGGACTTGGATGATACTGTTAAATAAATTGTAATTATTATAAAATATAATTGAATTGATTGAATGATAATTTTATAACATGTATACATTTATTTTAAATCAATAAATTCTCCCCCATGCCATTTTTGTGTTTCATTTTAAAAGATTTCACCACGGGAAAAAAGATCTATTTTAATTTGAATAATAATAATATAGTGCATATTAAAAGAAAACTAATTGAATTTGTTATGCCAAGAGTCAACTCAAATTACAATGATAAATTAAATAAACTAAAAATTATTGAATGGATCCATATAAGTAGAGAGTAAGTAAATCTCAACCTAAGTATCACATAATACCAATTAAGTCCTTTTGGAGTCAATTTTTTTTTGTAATTTTCAGGTCTTTTTTAAAAAAATTTAAGTTAATTAATAATTAAAGTTACTTTTTTTTTAATAATAAGATACTCAATTTACCACTTTCTTTTGGCCTAAACCCAATACACTCTTTGTAAAGTTAAAATAAAAAATTACACCACATAAAAATTTAAAATATTACAAATACTTTTAAGTAAATAGTTGAAGTGTAAAAATATCTTTTACTCCACACATATAAATTGTTAACTTGGGTTAGTCTACAGTAAACATCTCACACACACACACACACGATATGATGTGACTCTTGGACATAACACACAAAGCATAAGGTCCATCGTTAATAAATGATGAATGGCATAGTCTATTAAAATTTGTATATAATATGTAGATCGACGTATAATTTATTAGAAGTGACACTAATCATAAATTATTAATATTATAGCTATTTTTTATCAAATTTTGTGAGATGCAAGATTCATATCTTGTCATTGAATTATTGAATTAACTCACAAAAATGTTAATTTTTAAAATTATTATTTTTAAATTAGTACTCTGATTTAATTTAATATCAATTTATCATACCATCAAATCACAGAAATTATTTAATTTTTTGGCCAAGAATTGTTTAAAATGAAAGGTCTTGTTTAATAGCAAAAGCCTGTGTAATTTCGTTTAAACATATATAAATGATTATAAATTCATTTGCACTTTTTGGATAATTTTTTGAAAACCTAGATTAATCGTGATCTAGATTCTTTGTCTCACGTTGAGTGCAGGTTACTAGAAGGTGCTTATGCATTTGAAAAATTACAATTGAACTTTTATTAAATTATATTAGATAATAAAAAATATAGAAAATTAAACAACTTCATAAAAATCATACCCTTTTAGGTAATTATATATTTAAAAGTAATTTTGATGAATACCATCCAAACAAAACTAACTTTCTCATGATCACTTTTAAAAAATATTCAATCAAAAATTATAATTTATCAAACATTACTTTTAATTGATATCATTTGTAAAAAATCACGATTATTTGTTAATTTCTTCATACACGTTTGAAATTTAAAGTACCATTTGTATAAATAAAAATCTCTTGTGGGATGATTCCTTTTTCATATAGATTGATATAAGATCTATCTAACAATTACTTAAAAATATATTTTGTGAAACAATCCTTCCCATATGATGGGAAAAAAAAAATTTCCATAATCCTAAACCGATCTTACTTAAAATTGCAAATCTCAAGTTTGTCTGAGTGTCTGTAATTGATTTCTTTTCGCACCAACTCAATTTTAAATTTTCCGAAAGAAGACAACTAGAGAACGTGTTTCAATTTGTGAAAATCTTGGACTTTTATAGAAGTAAGAAAGTTTCCCCGAAATTCTGGAACAAAGTACTTGAAACTGTGTTGTGGTATGTAGGAATAAATATGAACTGTACTTAACTGTTTTGTTTTTTTTGGCCAAAGAACGGTACTTAACTCCTTGTCATGAAAAATGGATTGTTCCTAAGAAAATATATTAACAAAGTAAAATGAGTTATACTCATTTAAATATAAAATTTTAAATTCCAGTAAATGTTAAAAAAAAAAGTTTTGTTTGAAAAAGACTACTTTGAGTTAGTCAGATAATCATATGCTAAAGCTGAACAATATTCAATCCCACTCAATCAGGTAGCCATAATTTTTTTTTGGGTCAAAATACAATATTATATATATATATATATATATATATTAATAAAATTATATATTTATTGAATTTATTTATTAAAAAATCTTTTTCCTTTTTCCTTTTCTTTTTTGGTTTATTTCGTAGCCAGACGTTAGCCTCTAACCGCGAATCCGTAACTTATGGCCACAAAACGCAAACCGTTCCCGCGCACATTAGACGCGACTCGTTCACCCTGATAAAATACGCTCAGCCATCTTCTGCTATCCCTGTTTCACTTGCTTGTCCCTCTAGAAGAAGCCTCTCTCTCTCTCTTTCTCGCTAAACCTATTTTGCTCCATTCGTCGTTAATTTTTTGACAAATGAAAATTTTCTATTTGTAGCTTTTGGTTATGGCTTCGTTACAAATCCTGAAACTAACCCTCTCTTCAGTCTCCGTTTCTCAATCGAATTTTCCGACAAAATCGAGATGGACTTCCCGAGAGTCGTATTTCCGGGAAAGGATAATAAACGTGCGATCTGTCGGGGGTTCGAATTCTAGCAGAAGGCTTAGGGTCTGCTGTAAAGCTCAAGATACCGACAACCAAAACAATGGCAAGTTTTTGTTTTTTGCTTTTAATTTATTTATTAGTTCTTTTCATCATTTATTGAGAAATAATAATTGACTTCTTAGTAATGGTCTCTCTTTCTCTCTGTTTTTTGTCTTTTAAGGCAAATTTGATGGCTCCTGCTTTACACAAGTTAAATACGTTGTTGATGTTGCTTCCTAAATATAGCAATGAGGTTACTGTCTTTCCGACCTCTGTTCCAAGAGTGCAATTGTCATAATCACTCTGCTTCAGACCTCAGCTGACAATCCGGCAGAGATGACTGTGGCTTTGATTTTAATTCCTGCTTATTCAACTGACTCAGTATACTAGATTCTTCATTTAAATTTTGTGCCTTCTACTTTTTCTTTGCGAATAACGCAAGAATTTTCTTTTTACTTGTCTAGTATATTTTAAAACCAAAAATATTGGCCGTTGGTTGGACAATAATTAATATTTCCATGATTGTCCATTTGTATATTAACTGGTACGGAAAACTTTATTCCATTATTTATCGGTTGGATGGGTAGATATAATGTGAAGTTGGATCATGTTATCAAACACATGTCTTCGATAAAGAACCTGAGATTGTAGATCCATTGTTATGAGTAAGATTTAGCCTTTGAAACACTACTGAAAGATTTAAAAAGGAAGTTAAGGCAGAAAATGCATTTTGATTGTCTCATAAGAAACATGAGATGAAGCTTTGTTGAGGAATGGGATGGCTGGCGGTGGGCAGAAATTATTATTAGTTGATATCCATTTCACTGTTGTTGAGTTTGGTTATTATTATTGCTATTTTTTTTAATATCGAGGTATAATAAGCAGTGATACTATTTGCGTGACTAAAATAAAATTGAAGGTGGATAACTGAAGAAAGATAGAGATTTATCTATAACTCCCTTTCTTTACCTGGAAAAGAAGGTAAAAGAATTTGTATTTGCACAAATGAATTATGATCCCTTGTTAGCGTGTCAAGGTGCAGAGATTGGCAACTATCAAGTAAAATTTAATAGTTTATATTTGGTCATAAGTTATTCAGTTGCTTGGATTTTTGAAAGTTTTGATTAATAAGGGAGCAGCACTTTGTTTGCATAAATGCAAAGATTAACAGATGTGAAGATACAAGCATGATGGAAAACTGTATAAATTTTCAGACTTAACTCGTTTTGAACTCCTAATTAAATATAGTGCACCAACTTGATGTCTTGCTGACATATTTTTGTATGGATGTGTTGTGTTTATTGTGTCTGGAACAAAAGATATTGAGGGCATACTAGGACCTAGGTAGAAAAGAAAAGGCTTTCTACTTTCTTCATTAAATAAGGGGGAAAAAAATGCTCTGCTACTTCTTAAATCAAATTATATAATTGAGTTACATTTTTAGGCAGTATTAATGAATTCAGTGATCTAGTTGCCAATTAGAACTTGATCATGATAGATGTAGCATCGGTTCATTTTTTTCCTTTTTGCCTTTTAATGAATAAGATGATGATGAACACTGTGCCGTTTAGAAATATAATTTTTACAAATGTCAGCAATAGCAGCTTCTATTCTGTTTCCGAAGTTTTGGATTTTTTTTTTTTGCCATGTCAATTTGTATATGCATATATTTCTTTGGTGTACTTGCCAATGCAATGTTTGTTATCATATATATATATATATATATTGTATTTTTCTGCAGTATATTTTGCCATTTACTAGTCCATGTTGGTCCTTATTAGTCTCAAGATGTTTTTTTAAAAGAATCCATTCAGAAAAGACATATTGCTCAATCAATTTATGCCAGAGGGCTTCCGTGGAGAACACAGAGAACACTCTTAAGAGAGAAACTTGATTAATGGAGGAAATTTTTTGGAAAACATCTAGTCAACCCTTGGGGTGTGAGGCATACTTCTGATGAGGCTGTTTTTTTTTTTTTTTGCATGCATTCAACAGTCTGGTTCAGTTATGTGCTTGTTTACTTTCAATTAATCATGTATCTGTATCTCAGCGTCGTCTATCTGAGCAATCATTTCACAAAAACTATTCTGCAAACAATGGTCCCCTTCTTGTTTTTCCCTTAGCAAATCGCTAGTCATGGAGACCATCAAGTGACCAACACTTACTATGTTTGTTGGCTTTTGCTTCTGATGTATTTTCAGGTGAAGAACCCCCAGAATCATTATTTATGAAGGAACTAAAGAGGAGGGGAATGACTCCTACTTCATTGCTTGAAGATTTTAAGCAAGGTGGAGTGGATGAGGAGATGAATATGAATGGAGAAGATAGAGGTTTTCCAAAAAGAAATGCTGTCTCAACCAATGTTGAGAGGAGCCTAGACAATCAAAGGGAGCGATCTATGGCACTGAACAGCGAAGGTCTTGAGGTTGATGCCTCATCTGACATTTTCAGAACAACATAATTTATTTAGTATCATTAGTCTTGTTTCAAAGATTTTGGTGCCTATAGTGTGGATTGGGTCACCAATCAGTTCTCTTTTACCACTGCATCAGTATTCCTTGTTAATGAAACATGATGTATATGTGACACATTGTTTGCCTTCACATGCTGCTGCTTCAAAATTCGTTCTCAAAACTTCCTATAAACCTACCTAGGGGTCGTCTATAAAGTCAATCCATAATTTATTTAATTGTGTATGCCACTGCATGTGTGTAGAGAACTTGATGTCACATTAACAGGAATGATGAGAAGTAAAAAAGTGTATTTTATGTTCTCTCTTTTTTACCCTTTGTGGGAATGGGGGACAGAGAAAATTAGATGGTTAAACAGGGAAGAAAATCAAAACATAATCAGAAAATCATTTGTATATTGAAGTGAATTTAGGCTGCAAGGATCTGATTAACCTTCTTTATTCTTTGTTTTGGTATGGCAGAATTAGAGAAAATCACTTACATTTTTATCCATTACAGGGGTTGATACCTCGGGCTAAACTTTTGTTGTCTCTTGGAGGAACATTTTTCCTGGCATTTTGGCCACTGATCCTCATAACTATTGTGGCTTTTTCTGCTCTCTACCTTGTAAGTCTCTTTCTGTCTTTGTCAAATGATGCGTGTATGAATTTCTTTGTTTACTTCTTCCCTACATTATCGAGTCCATTTTCAGTGATATATGTAGCAACTTGACCATTTTATATCCACATTGAATAAACGACACTAAATTATTCTGTTGAAACTATATAAATTGTCTATTATCCCACTAAACTATTTGGTGGACCAAAATATGACCTATGTGGTTCTTATTGGCAAACCATGCACAGAGGCAGCTGACATAGCTAGAATATATTATTGTCTTCCACAGTTTTTTTTTTTTTTCCAAAATTGTAAGAAAACCTATGTCTGACAGCCATTGATGCAAAGGGAAGCCGTTATGTGTGTCAGTTATTGGCTAAGGAATTGCACTCTAGTAATGTTAGTTGGGTTGTTTTTAAAGAACTACCGTACTGTGTTCGCAACTTGTTGCTAGCGGATCTGTCTAGCCCCCAGAAATCTTGCTATTTTGGCTTTGCGTTCATGGGCCTTGACCTGTTTTAGACTACTTAAGTAGATTCTCTGTGAGGTCCTCATAAACATTGTACATAAACATTGTATTTGTATGTTCATGGAATCTCATGTTCGTTGCCTAAGAAAGTTGCTGGGGTGTCAATTTACCAAGTATAAATCTGCATTCATTTTTTCAGATTATCAAAGTGCTGAAGTTTGTGGCCCAAACTGAATTGTTTTTTTCCCGATTTATTAAATTTAATTACAGACAAAAACTTATACTTGATGTGACAGTATGAAGCATTCTATGCTCTCCAGCCTCGTGGAGAATGGAAAACTTGTAATGAAAATAGTTCTCTTCTTTTGTGACATGTTCTTACACTGGACATTACTTCTAGGTTCCCCAAGCTTCACTATTATCTAAGAAATATACACCAAATGTGCAGCTATTATAGCGATCAGTTGTAAAACTTGTCCCCACTGCAAGTGCGCAGGCACGTGTATTTTTTTTTATTTTTAAGAATCCTGTCAATAATGTGATAGGGACCCACAATTCTATATCACTTACAGTAGAAAGAAGAGGGCAAGGATAGAAGAGAGTAGTGAGAAGGTGGGAAACCGGTCATGGAGAAGGTAGCAGAGTAGGGAAGTTAGCTGGTAGCCATGATCATGAAGATAGGATTAGTTATGCAGTAGCTTTTATCCTGTTCTGTTCCTGTCATTTTTAGTGATTATATAGCATTTTTAGAGTCAGTAGTGTTTCTACTTTTATAATTAGCAGTAGTAGAGATGCAGTAGGTGTCTTATGCTTTGAATTACCTTTGTAGTGGATATTCTCCCCCGATCTATTGAAGAAGTTAATGTTTTCAGATTCTGGCATTGTTTTCTTCAGTTGAATTTTCATTTGATTTCTCTTTAGACTTCGGTATCTATCTTCAGTTCTTTGTGCAATCTATTTTGAACTATTGAAAGTTTGAAACCTTTGATGCTTAAAGAGCTGGATTTGATTCTGTAAGTTATTTGTGGCAGTATTTTGGACCGAGTTTTGTACATGATGCTAGCAAGATGCCCCCCTCCCCTCCCCAGTATGTGGATCCTTATGCACTTCTGGAAGATGAAAGAATATCCCAGATTGCACCTCGTCTCAATTGAAAGGCAAGAATTTACATACGTAGGAATATAATTATATGTATCACAGTTCAGTTCTCTTTTCATCTGTATATGTTTCCTCTGTAAAGTATCAACCTGGAAGAACTTGTCTAGTTATTGATTTGATGCTCATTTTTATTCACTCTACACCTTCATGTCTCTCCAAGCATGTGGCTTTAGATAAACACAGCGTTATTTTATTTAAATCTCAAGGCATAATAATCAGAATTATTTCAAATCGATCTAGAACATGTAATTTTAATCCCTATATTGGGAGGAACTTTTTGTTCTAAAATTGGATGTTACGACGAGGCTCTTGCCTGGTTTCCTCCAAGAAGTTGTTTATATTTTCGTCGCTCAAATAAAAGCACGTAAATGTGAAAAAGTTGGGATTACATCAATCAATCTACAATGTAGACACTTAAATTGGATCTGAACCTCGTTCATACAATTTAAAGCTCAAACCGCTCAAGTGGATTTTTTTCATTCGTGCCATATATTTAAGCTCAAAAGTTCGGTGGGGCTAGACTGACTCGAATCAAATGAAGTTGTACTCGTTTGTCTATCATTTCATTTCCAATCATACAGATAAGATATAAGTTGTCCCCATAATTATAGTACTTTATGTCTCTCTTCAAATGAATAAATATAAAATTTTCTTTTTGTTTCATAATTAAAAAAGCTAATTTAGATATTCATCATGCATAATTTGTTACATCCAAAGGTGCCAGAAGTTGGCTGGCGAGTGAAAATAGACAAACCAACTATGGAGAGACCTTGAACAATCTAGGAAGTAAAAAGCTTAGTTTAGGATAACGACGGTTCATGCATGTGATTGATTTGACTCCCACTTTTGAGATCACGAAAGGGCCAACAAACCCATCATGCTAATATTTCGTTACAACCCTAAAAAGCTGTCTGAAGAATTCCTAATCCATTATCTGTGTTTTACAAACTGTGAAGCTAACTAGTTTCTTTCTGTGCTCCAAGAAACCCAGTACAAAAGCACACTAAGAAATAGACTGAAAAGGCTTGTAAGCTTTCAGGTCTTTTATAATACCTTCAATGGATCCAGCTGCGGCAACTACAGTGACAATAAAGCAAAGGCCACTTAGCATTTTAAGCATCATCCATGGTGCAGAAAACCTGGGCATTTTTCTCTGCGAAATGTACATTTCTACAGGAAAATACACAGTCAAGGGCCAGAAAGAAAAAGCTCCAAGCAGACCCAAAATGCTGTTGAAGAAAGGGAGTAACATGGCGGTTACAGTGGTAAATATCACGAACAGTGTCCTCCATATCACACGAAACTGGTTCACTCTGTAAAGTCCGCACATTGGAATGCTGATTGAGTATTCTTTTGTAGCAAAATCGCTTTCTGGCCATCTCTTGCAGCACCAATCTTCCACAAGTTTGAAAACGGGTTGGCAGAATACCTGCACGCACGAAGTACCCCGTTAAGGTTCTTTGTCACTCAATAAATATTGGATAGCTGAACAGTTCGGAGATTGATTGGATTGTGCTAAGTGGTAAAGTTCTTTGATTGGTTAACAGCAGAGTGTAGAGCAGAACATAATTGAACCAGTAGTTGCTGGGTCAAGCAGAAAAAACTCAATTACCTTCAGCAAGGTGTTACGTGCATAAGTTCAAAAGAAGAAGAAGAAGAAGCACATCATAAAGACTAACTTATTAAAAGAACTCCTCACACTAAAGCAACACTTATTTTGCGAGTTTCTTGATGCAGAACTCATAATACAAGGTGAGTGTTCGAACCTTGGTGATGAAAAAATAAATTATGTTTGTAGAGCTATCTTCAATTAAGCAATGACAATGCTCAAAGGTAACATGATGAGCCGAATATTGAATAATGCAAACAAAAAGAGGAAGATGATTGATCATAAGAAGCTACCTGGTAGCACCAACGAGATGAACAACAACAAAGATGTTTCCAATGTCAACCATCCAAAATGGCTCATAAAAACCAAATCCTGTGAGAATGTTTCCAGGTGCACTGTTCCCAAATGCCGCATATCCCAATATCCCACAGACAGATAAAACAGACTGGTGATCGACACTCCAACAGAGACTGCCTTCTTCATCGCTTGATTCTCTGGTGGGCTTGATTTCAACGTATCCTGGTCAAAACTCAAACAAAATACAATATTGAAATTAAAGTTCATCAATTATGGTTGATCTATATATATGGGGAGAGTAAATGAACTTAAATAGCTCGCCTGTATCTCAACAATGACAACAGAGAAAGCATATGCAAAAGCAATGTTTCCAAGTGCTTGGAAGGTGTTCCATATCTTCTCACTACTGCTGACATCCACACCAATGACTGTCCCAGACAAGCCTGTCTTCACATCGTTTCCACCTTCAAGTTCCAAAAGTGGATCAGTAAATTAAATTGAAAAAAGACGAGCACGCTGACACTGGTCCATCTGATTTAGTCCTACTAATTTGAAAGTGTTCAAGGTTCATTAAATGATGTTTTTAAGGTGTGTTTGGTACTATTGTGTTGGTTTAGTTAAGTGGGATTGTGAGGACCAACATATTTAAGCGAACATTTTATAGTGTTTGATTGAATTCAAATTGTAAATGAAAGTGAAGTAAATGCAGAGTCTAACCTGCAACCTTGGCAATGGAGAGACCAAGAGAAATGAAGGCATAGCCAATAGACATGAGAGCAGCGAGAAGAGAGAGCCATGAAAGTTTATGAAAGTTAGGAATTTGGCTTAATATAATCTCCAATATCCCAAATACTATCATGTATCCATTGTTTGACGAATGACACCCCATTTCATGTCCCTCCTTGTGGAAGCAATTTGATCTTTTCACCGCCCTGATTAACACACAACCAACCAACATTCTCTCATGAGGGGGGAAAAATACTTCAACTATGTCCTCAACAAGAAAACTCCGTCTATGTTTTATAGGTAGTTCCAAACCCAGATAAAAGAGAAGGGTTGTGTTAAGTACGTTTTCCAAAACAACTATTTATTACTTCTCACAAAACATTATATAGTAAAGTATGAAAATGTACTCTGTCCACAATACAAGACATTGATAACTATTTCATTATTCTAAAAACAGTTAGTTGAAATTTTAATTTTTTTAAAAAATTGTAGTCCCTTGACTCAAATTATAAAATACTTTTGAAAGAGATTCAGTGTCTTAAAACACAAGACACTTTAAAAATATTAATATTTTATTAAATGAACTTATTCTAATATTACCCTTTATCTCTCTATTTAATTTCCGTCCTCATCTCTCTTTAATATTTTAAATGAAGGATATTTTTAAAAGTATATTTTTGTTTTAAAAAATAAAATTGTTAAGTGTATCTAATGAAATTTATAATGTAAAATTATAATTTGAGACAAAGGAGGGGGGTACATTTTTCTAATCATACCCTCATTAAATATCCTATATAAATACTTTAATAATGATAATTCAAATTTCAATGAATCATTTTTTTCAAAAGAATAATAAGTGAAGTAAAGTCATAGATGAAAAATAATTGGGAGAATTACATTAAAGTTTCATACAAGAAAATTAATTACAATAAAGTTCAATGACAACTGAATTAAGGAGATTGACAACAAAAAAATTAGTTATAACAAAACTCAATGACAATTGAATTGTCAATTAGTTCAATTGTCATTGAACTTTGTTATAATTCATTTTTTTGTGTAAGGTCTGAATGTAATTCTCTCAAAATAATTATAAAAACTAAAAATGCATAAAAACTATTAAATGCCCTGTATAAGTAAGACTTATAAAAATGTGCTGTATTATGCATGAGAGGATAAATGGATAATCAAGCTTCAAGCAGGCTAGAAATCTTACACCAGGCTAATGGATGCAGTAATTGTGTATCCAATTGATATTCCTACAAGATTCACATACTGTGCGGCCCCACAAAGCAAGTATTTCATTCCTCCTGCCAACAAACACACACACACACACACACACACACAACATTACATCATTTTTTAAACCATGCTATCAAATTTATGCTTATGTATATTTGCGAAGTACCAAGATTGGTCTTGACGATCTGAATGTAAGTGTAGTTTCTGGTTCCGTCAGGGGACCTATAGCATTCGGTGAGCAAGGAGGAAGTGAAGAGAGTGACCAGAGAGAAGATGGAGAGAGCAATGGGCCCAGAAACCCAACCCAATTGGGCCATGGCCCAGCCCAACGATAGAACTCCCGATCCAATCACAGCCGTAACGATGTGTGCACTTGCAGTGAACCACGTTCCTGAACCCACCACCATTATACCATACAAAGCAAAAGCAAATTAGATCTTCAATATCTAAAGGCTCATGCTTCATTAAAATTGGCAAAGATCTTTTACTTTTTATTTTATTTTCTTTGTCTAAATCTTTTTATGTTCTATTATCATTCTAGAAATATATAATCACATTCACAAGATACACGTGAGGCAGCGATTATTAATAACGATTTCATACAAATTAGTTTATGTGGGTGGCAGTTTTTCAAAATACCAGATAACAGAATAAAAAAAAAAGTATTTGTTTATGCGACAAAATCCACTAGTCTAAATTTGATTTGATTTTTTTCTATTTGGTGTATCCATTTGTGATATTTTGTTTATTTTTATCATGGTTTCTCAAAAAGAAATGATGAGATTATAATTGAATTTCTTCCAATTATTATTACAAATTGTAGTTATTTGGAAAAAGGAGAAAATTAGTCATGCACTGAGTATATTTTTCTGAAAAAACAAGTAAACAAAATTCAAGGAAAATGGCATAATGTCTAGTATATCATCTTTCAAAATTTGTTACGGACTAAGTCACTCTGATACAAATAGAATAGAACACGTCTATAAAAAAAATTTTAAAAAAAATAGAGGATGAAACCATATCCTAAAACAGGTCGAAGAAATTTTAAAAGAGAAAAAAAAAAAAAAGAAACACAAAAAGTGTCAAAGGAATGAACTCAATATATCTCAAGTTGAGAGAAAATACGACTCATACCTGTTCGTTTCAATTTGCCATCATCATCAAATTTAGAGTCAAACCCTCCATTTTCTATTGAGAAGCTCACGTTTCTCTGCAATTCCATAGCCATGTCAGAGACAAGCCTAAGAAGAAGAAGAAGAAGAAGAAGAA